CAAGCTTAGGGACAGCAGGCCAACTCTACATAGAAAGGCCCACTTAGATTCAAACCCAGGACCTTCTTTCTGTGAAGCAACAGTGCTAACCATCGCACTGCTGTCCCGCCCAGTCTGAGCATTTTAGTAAAAAAACAAACAAACAGAAAGACACCCATTTTTAACGGTCATAGCAGTGACATTTTCTGCAGTCACATGTGTGAGAATCGCCATTTGACAGTAGCATTGTTATCAAATGGGTCGGCTATCCTGACCTGGTTCGACTGATGTTCATGGTCTCTAACTTGAGCCAAGACAAAGTTGCCTCCCAAACTTGTGCTAACTCAAAGTTCATACAGTACAGCTTTCATGTGCACTATATGGACATTGTCAGTTAACATCACTTCATTAACAGGCAACATCCATGCAGCACACACTCATCCCTTTACAGTTTGATTCAGCGTGATGGCTGATTCACACGATTCAAGCAAATGAAAATAAAATACAGCCATTAAGTTTTAATGCTTCACACCACCCACACAGGCACGAAGCACAAGGACAGATTTTACCAAACTTTGCAGACAGCATTGTCAACTACAAGGGAACAAAGAAAACTAAACTTTGAGAACTTGAGCTGTATTAGTAAACAACCGTTCCAAATGATAGACTCATGGCTAAATTTGTTCTACCCAAGAGGCTAAGACATTTTTAATGAGAATGAACATCTGTCTTCTCTGTATCCCATTGGGAACCACATGACAAGTGTAAACTATAAATATAGTTCATTCTTTAATCCCACACAAAGTAATTGCTTATACAGCAACATGCATTATAAGGTATACTTTTCAAAAGGAATACTAAATAAACAGAGGTGAGAATCATTTTAAATGTCATGTTATTTTAAAGCGAAATATTTATATATGACTTTATATGGTAAAATTGGAAACTTGCAAAAAACCACTAGGGGCTTTGTGCTGGTGGTTCTGCTGCATTTAGCCATGGGCAAACCAGCACTGAGGCCACATGCGATTTATGGCTGCATTTCCAAGAGTTGACTGTAACTAATGAGATTGACTGAATTTCCAGAGAGTTGCATAGGGTTAAGTACATTGTGGTCCAAAGCATGCAGTAATTACAGCAAGGGACAAAGGCAGCCAAAGCCCTGGGATGTACAGTATGGCACTGTGAAATTCCTACTCCGGGTAAGCGCTTGACATAAAAGCTTCTTTGTCTGAGAAAATGTAGCAAACAATCATCGACAAAGATCACAGCTCCTGTTTGAAATTCAATCCAACCTAGAGCAAGGGAGACGGGTTTGGGGGGAAAAAATTATTGAAAGGGAAGGAGGAAGAGGTAGATGAAGGGTGAGAAAAAGCAATAGTCTGAGGGAGAGAGAAGATGAAGGGCTTTAGAACTGAGAAGTCGGGGAGAAGAGAGGTCAGAGCTACCTTTTAAAGTCTCAGAAGTGGAGTGAGCAATGTGTTTTGATGACTGTGCTGCTATTTTTAAAGACCAAATTGAATGCATGTTCCTATTTTCGTTATATTGTATTTCTGAAGCTAACCGAGTTGTCGGTATGTGTTTTTTCCCGCTCTGTGTTTGTGTGACACTTGCAGTCTTTAGCAAGTTTACAAAAGTACATTTGTTAAAAACGCTGCTGCTAAATTATCACACACACACTGTTAATAACAGTCCAACTGCCATTAGTGCCTAACAGGACTGCTGAAAATGAAGGCTTTGGATTTAGTGATGCACAGAGTGTCTCCTGGTACATACTGCTGTTTCCAGTTCTGTCAAAAAATATCAGTGCAGCTAAGGGAGAGTCAGAACATATTTTATTTTAGGGGTTTTTAAGGGCTTATTTATTTATTTTGTTTTCAAAATGAACTCTATTAAACCTATTTTTTTATTATTATTATTATTAGGCCAGCATTTTTTAAACTTGTTTTTTTTTCTTACATCCATAGTTCTTATTAAGAGGTGTACCTTACAGTTGTCCATCCATCCATCTTTTTCCACTTATCCCGGACTGGGTCGCGGGGGCCGCAGCCTGAGCAGGGAAGCCCAGAGCTCCTCTCCCTGGCCACCACCTCCAGCTTATCCGGGAAACACCAAGACATTCCCAGGCCAGCCGAGAGATATAATCTCTACAGTGTGTCCTGGGTCTGCCCCTGGCCACCACCCAGCACACATTGCACCCGACCCCCACGGTGCCCCACAGTACAGGGTGGGCCCATTTCCCTTTTCAGGCTATGCCCTCCAGGGCGGGGACCCAGTAACCCTATCCCAGGCAGGGTGAACTGTTCCCTTGATCTTGCACTCATAGGGGTCTTCTGAATCACTCTTTGTCTGGTCTCTCACCCAGGATCAATTTGCAATGGGAGCCCCCAGACAACATAGCCCCTGGGATTCCTGCAACACACAAATCCCTACACCGCGATAAGGTAGTGATTCGCGGAGGCGAGACCCCAGAGTAGTACCACATGAAAACTACTTACCTATATTATAGCTTCAAAACACCACAATAAAAATAAGTGCACTTTAAGGACTCGTTGCTTTAGCAGTGTCCTCAGTGCTAAAAGTTTCAGCGTCCCTTCAAGCTCGTTGCAGTACGGTTTTATTTCGATGCCCCATGTTGCTCTCTTTGCTTTGAAAAAGAAAAAAAATCATTTTTTGAACTAATCAGCTTGCGATGGAGCTCAAGTGCACTTTGTGTGTGAATGTGAAAAGCCCTAAGACTGTCTGTACAAAGGGTCCTGCTGAAAAGAGCTTACACTGAGTTGGATAAACACAGAAATGTAGTCCCGGGGAAGGCAAGCTCTTCTCCAAAAATTTCAACATTAGGGTGTATGTGTGTGCATGCTACAGGGAAAATAAGGGGAAGCAGGCATGTGTCAGACATGGTCTATGGTCCATTAGTGTGACATACTGTTGCTTTTCAGAGCTCCGTTATTGGGGAATTCTGTCATGGAGCCAAACTGGAACTCCCAATGGACACAATTAAAGACACACATCCACAAACATGTACCCACACACGCATACAGACACCAAACCCCTCTGCCAATAAAGGTTATCACAACACTAACATTGTCTAATGATTAGGATATGATGGCTAATGAGCTGTAGCAGCCTCCTTGTGGGGCTACACCAGCTTTTCAAAGTAGACGTCTATCAATCTGTATAAGGGGAATTGAAGAATACAGTGCATAGCATGCATTATTCACATTATGTTATTTGATCGTTTTACTAGTCTATTTCTGCCTGGTAGCTACATCTTTTATCTATTAACAGTGTCCTAACCTTTCCTGAAAATATATGGATTAGATGCTGTATGTGTCCAATATGTCAGCAAGGAAAAAATGATTTTAACAAATCAATTCAGATGCATGTTGTGAACAGGATTTGAACCTTTACCCTGGTGTGTAGGAGGACTTCAATGTCATGACTGAGCTATATGCTTCTACACATACGTGCATGAGTGTATGTGTATATTATAATGTGTGGGCATGTGTGTGCATGGGTGTATCTAGGTGAAACACACAGGAGGGTGTATGCATTACTGACAAGCTGCTTATCTTCTATGCTGTCCGATCTGCTCAGACTCTTGTAGCTAAAGTTTAGTGATGTCCCATTAGACTTTTATTTGGACTGTACTGTGTTGTGTAATAGACTCACAGTGCAGTGTCTCTCTTATGCTCACTCTTTTTCAAGCTAGTATATATTCTGTATGTCATATCATACAAAGTTGGACCTTTATTTTCCACCTTCTTTGGCCACTAAAAGGCTCCATTCATAGAGTGGGATAATTGAATTGCTGGTTGTTGTTGTTTCATTGCTGACAAAAAAAAGTGCATTTACGGAATTTAGGGCACTTTAACCCTTTTAATTGTCCTGCTCTGTAAAAGTCTTTGCATGATGTCATGTAATGGGGATGTTTAGAAGTGATGTGCTGTGTTTGTTAAGGTCTTGGAAACTATGGCAAACACATATTCTGACAGGCACAGTCGGATTTCTGTCACCAACCTGCTGTGATCAGTAGAAAATTTTAAATCAATAGTCAACTGTTTAAAATTAGGCCGGCAGTAGAAGTAATGGGAAAAGTTGTTTGAATAGACAGTTTCATTGAGTAGCTGGGGCCCTTGTTTAACACACAGGTCTATGCATGGAAAATACTAAAGGGTAAAAAACCTATCAGTTGCATTAATAAATTAAATAAGGCTTCACAGCAAACTAGAAACTCTTGCCCCCTCATCACACATTGATTTTTTTTTTTCCTCCCTCACTGTGGAACAGCCAACTAAGCTTTTTAAAAGTTAAGGTGTAATTGTTGCATTTAGGACAGAGCGAAATCGATCAGCGTTACCGAGGCAAAAAAGCCACTCCATATTGCCCGTAATGTCAGACAGTAGGCACATGTAATGAGGGCCATTTGGCCATCGTCTCATCTTTCCTAATGGTTGTAGTCATATCTATTTCCAAAGGAAGCTCATCTCTTTCTCTTTCGCCTTTTGATCCCTTGAGCAAGTGCATTTAATCCATGCTTTGGTCTATTTGGGTCAGAATGATTGGGATTGATAACAGGCATGTCCTGTGTACAGCATGCGTTTGTGTCACTGTGACGCACAAAAGTCTCCCAGAGGTAGAACAAAGAGTACTAAAAGGCAGAAGATTGCTACGACTACTGACTTCACTCATGCCAGTAATTTTAGCCCGGACAGGAGTTTGGCAAATCCTCACCTTGTGTTGCGATTGGAAGCAGATTAATTGGAAAAATGACCGGAGGAAATAAGGTCCAGGAAGAGACGCAGAATAAATGGAGGAAGAGGGAAAGCACGAGTGGAAAATAAATGAAAAAAGGAGATGATGATGGATATTTGGTGAGCAGGAAAAAAAGAAACAGATTCATATATAAGATGTTTCCGTTCTGAATGGATATTGTGTTTGAAATCAATATAACAAAGTTTGCAAGATTTCTTCCATTCTTAATTTGCAGATGTGTGACAACACTTCCTTGTTTTCTGTTTCTACTTCATTTATTCTCCCTTTACTCCTTCCACTGATGTCAGCCTAATTTATGAAGAAGCAGCAGTTCATCAGACAAGATGCATCGCTGGCTGGCAAGACTTCACTCCCAACTCTTAGACTCCGTGTGTAAGGATGTGTGTGTTGTACCCCCTGCAGAGGACCACACTCAATAATGCATAGCTGCAGGCCTAACTAGAGCAAGCTCAGGCTCCCAGTCCTGTTCAGGCACATCCTCCATTTTGTCCCTAAAACAAAAGTGCATAGCTTGTGTCAGATTTTGCTTCCACTTCTTCCACTTGCTTATATAGACATTTATAATGCAAGGACCCTAATTACAAAGCAACATGACATGTATTAAACATGACCTTAATTACATCGAGACACAAAGAAGACTCAGGAAACAAGGGTCATAACATCACATTAAGTTACGTATAATTGTAAAGCAAAACACAGAGCGTCTCCGGCTCTCCTTCACTAAACGAAACAGTGCATTATGAAAGGATTTCAGCCTGTCAGCTTGTGTTTTAGATCGCAAATATTAACTGTATCTTCACAGTAACCCAAGCAGATCCTCTGCCGGGTCATTTCAGGTAGCGTGAAGCTATAAGTAAACCGGGAAGCATAAACATAGCATTTAATTTAAGTTGTGATGTTTTTGGGGGTTTTTAAGCAGACAAGCAAAAACACCCTCAGCAATTCATATTTTAAACTTTTACATTTACCTGTAACTGGTGCATTCCCCATCCATCCATTTTCCACTGCATATCTGGGTCATTTTGCAGCAGATTAAGCAAAACTGACATTCTTCTCCCGCAGCTCTTCCTCGGGGATCCGAGGCGTTCGCAGGGCACGTGGGGAGTGTAGTCCTCCTGGCTTGTTCTGATCCTGACTCAGGGTTTTCTTTTAGCTGGAAATATCCAAAATACTTTGGTAGAAAGAAAAATATACTCCCAATGGTAGAAAGAAAAATATACTCCCAATGAAAGCAAATGGTCAATTTTAAACAAACTAAACAAACTCAAAGATGGTTAAAAATAACCAAATGCAAATACTAAATGAGTACATGTGCGGAGCAACACACACGTGATTTTTTTTTTTTTTTTGCCATGTGGCCTTTTGTTTGCTTGTGTTTCACTCTTATGTGGTGAGCAGCAGAATCATAAGGCACAGGTTATGTAGAATAGAAATATAATTAGCTCTAGCATTACATTAACTTTCTTTTTCCTATAACTTCCAGCATTGTTTTTGTGTTTATAGATTATCCTTGATTGATTGATCACTATTCAAAAATAAATTTCCACTGGGAAAATTTTTTGTGCAGAAAGTGCTCTGGTTTGTCACCACAAGACACACACAGATAAATATGCTTTGGTAGCTGGGGTCAAAGACTAAATTCCTCACTTTTTTCAATGTCGATGTTGTATGCTCCCCGTGGCCCTGCAGCAGTGTGAAAAATGCGATTAACAGTCTTGGTGGGCAGCGTCTGTTTCCGACCTCTAATCTCACCTTCTCTCATCTGTATTCTTTGGCACTCGTCTCACCTACTGTCCTCCGCAGAAAGACGAGTATTAGGATCTAACTAGAGACGAATAACATACAGCGGGAAAAGAAGAAAGCGTGCATTATAGAACAGGCAATAAATCTTTATTGCTCAAATGTATAAATATTCAAAATTGTATTACATCTCAGTTATGACATCATTTCAAAGTGGTCAGCATGTTCTCATATCTCCATCTCGTCCTCTGTTCTTGCAGGAATATGGTTACAAAGAAATCACCAGAATTTAACACTGTTTGTAGTAACTAGCACTACAGAAAACAATGTTTTGATGAGTCTAATGATACAAAGCTGTATGAGTTCAATAGATTTTTTTAAGATGGCTGCATGAATGGCTGTGGAAAAGCAAAAATACTAAGAGTCCTCAGTCTCTGCCTGCTAAAGTAAAATTACGGAGAAGCAAAAGCAAATGAAAGAAACATAGGTCTTACATTACAAACATATATAGAGTTGAGAAATCTATACGTTTATGAGAGCATCAGAGATAATATCACTTTCTTATGCAGATGATACACAGTTGTAGTTGCAGTCTTACAATCTAACCTCTGTTAACAAACTAAGCTTCATTGATGACATTAACTGAATGATGTCCAGAAACATTTTAGAACTGACAGAGACGACACAGAAATATGTGTTTGTTCAAAAGGTCAAAGATTGACAGTTTGAGGTTTTGTTTTTTTTTTTTAATTCATGATTCCTGTCTCTGAAATACAGGTAACGAATCAGAAACCTTTGGGTTTTTTGGATGGGGATCTCAGTTTTGAAAAACGTTTTATGGGTACCAGAAGTGCTTCTGTCAGAAAAGTTGGGAAATTCATATCTTAAATTGACTTTAGCAGGTTAAACAACTGTGATGCTCTATTTGCAGGATTATCCAAATCAACAGTAAGATGACTTCAGCTCATTCAGAATGGAGCAGCCAGTCTTACAGGTTTAATGAAGAATTACCTTTAAAATCCTTCCTTTGGTTTATAAAGCGCTCATTTGTACATCTCTGACTTGAGTTTATCACACAGCTACACCTCTCAGGTCATGGATCTGAGTTTCTTGCGTGCGCTTTAAGTTAATGTGGCCTTGTTCTTTGAAACAAGCTGCCTGCAGACCTGAGATCAGTTACATTTGTGCATACATTAACTCATTCACTGCCATTGACGTCTATAGCCGTCAATTGCAGTGAATGAGTCAATGGGTTTAACTCATTCACTGCCAATGGCTGGCAGTGAATGAGTTAAAAACACACACACATGTATGCACACACATAATTGTGTAACTTACCATTACCATTAGTGGAAATTTCATTAAATAGAAGGATTTTGCTTTCTCAGTTAGATGTATGTGGACAGTAATCGCCGGCTAGATTACATTTAGAGGCAACATTTAATTTTAAATAAATGAAGGCACATATATCTGAGCTGTTCTGGAGTCAGTAGGTGACTGAGAGAACTGGTGGACATACTCTGCATAGTACTCCACTGTGACAACAAAAGCACTGGTTGGTTGGGGAAAATTGTGTTTTTCATTTAGTCTAAACATGTAGGTGAGTGATAAATTATTCCCTTTTACCCCTGGGCCAAGCAGGCCATCTTTCCTACCAGCAATGAAATTGTAACAGGAAGTTGTTGACCTATTGTGTGTGTGTGTGTGTGTGTCCTGTGGTGATAGTAGGAGATTGGAACTAACCAAGGTTGATAGGCAGAAGCCAGATAATAGTCTGTGTCATGCATACAAATTGACAAAAATACACCCACATGCACATGTACACAGAAACACAGGGAGAGAGGCAGCTGAGAGTGATGCCTCTGATTGAAGTCCAGAAGAGGAAGGTGAGGGGCAGTAGGTTTCCCCTGCTAGCTGCAAAAACTTTTTAAGCTTAACCACTTAAAGGATTTACTTTGTTAAAACTGTGGGGTAACAACAAAGCTCCCCCTGTGCATTCCTAAAATTTAAATTGCTTTGAGAAAACAAAGATCTGCTTCTCTGTAGCAACCACCCGTTCATTTCCCTCATTCACCCCTTTGCCTGTCTTTAAATTAATGCATTTGACAGGCGATTAATTTGGCACAAATATGCAAACAGATTTGCTCACCTACACAAGCAAATAAACAACTCAGCCATGGCTGTTATCAAAAATATTACATGGTGTACTTCGCCAGTTTTCCTCATTTCACTTCACTTCCCTTTTATTTCCCAGCATTGTGCTGACAGAGACCAAAAAACATATTCTAATGTTTAAATATTGAGTAAATGTGGATACACCAAGGGATGCAATTTAAAGTACATCGATTACAAAATTAAATTGGAGGGCAAATTTTGTGTGGCTAAAAATAACTGAAATAAATAAATAAATAAATGAAATAAATAAATAAATTTGGAGTATCGTGAGTCAGATGGAAACGTTCCAAAGCACAGGTAAATGGAGGCTGAATTAGAAAGATAGGAAGGTAATGCCATACTGGAAAAAGACAGCCAACAAGAAAAGGGAGGACGACACATTCAGACACTGAATAGGGTGAGTGAAAAGAAGCACTGAATCACTATAGAAAGTGTTACTTATGAGATTCTAGATTGCAGAACTGCAGCACAGCCAGTATACTCAAACAGTGGGGGAGGACAAACAGGGCTAGGAAGCAGATGAATACGAAGGAAAATGAATTGGTGATTGAATGAGGGAGGAGTTTGGTAAATAAGATGCTTAATGAGGGGTTGAGGGAGGGAGTGATTGGCAAATAAGGTAGAGAATGACTAATTCCATGTCCACTTCATTAGCTGGCATCATGTAAACATCCAAATTGTAATTGGAAGCTGGAATAAGATGAGATGAGAATATGAGCAGAGACAGTGATAGTTATGGAGACGCAAAAATAAACCAGCAGTCAACAGTTTACCGTAGAGGAGAGCTGAGTAAGATGAGCCAGTTTTTACTTAAGTTGGCCCAAGGCTAAGGGAATATCACAGAGAAATGAAGCTAACACATACAACAGAAATCAAAAGGAAACATATAGGCTCCCCTATAAGTAATCCTTTGAGTCAGTTTGGAGTAACAATTTGTGATATGTGAGAAAACATTTACACTCTGCTGTGTTAACCAAATGTTTAAATATTTCTGGAAATGCAAGCATTAATAATTAAAACCTGAATCCTGCTTCTATTGATGATCATAAAATAAATACTAGAAAGCGAAAATTTCTGAAGAAATTTTAAGTGTGCCTATGCCGCCGCTAATCAGTATAGTTTGCCATTCAAACGGCTACAGAGAGCAAAACTCAGCAGAGCAGCCATTCTCCACCATTAACTATGCCCGATTTGTAGACGCTGTGCGCAGAGGTTCATAAGCAGACCCGACAATGTTTGCATGAACACGCTGTGAAGCATTACGTTATGGACCACTTTTCACACATAGTTGCTGTACCCACACAGCCGGCTGTAGCTTTTCATCTCACAGCCCGACACAGACAAAAAAAAAAAAAAAAAGCAGAGAGAGCACAGACTTTACACCTGAGAGGCGTGATTGCAGATATCGCTGAGGTGGGTCCACCTCCCCTGCAGCGGCACTGCAGACCACGCCCTGCCACACACATCAAACACATAAAATAAATATTTATGCACTTTTCATTCACTTTTTGTTTTTTGTTATTTTTACACAGTGTTCTGAATGATTAACAATGGTCTACAGCCAATCTTGTGTATTATTATACAAACTTTGGTTGTAAGATTCAGATAACTATTTAATAAAAGCTAAATATTTTATATGAGAGTAAGAAAGAAAAGTATATCTTTGTCTCATACTCTCAGACAATACATGAACCTCTCAATAAACAAAATATATGCTCGGCTTAAATGACAAACCGCTATTTTACACAGTGGAACACTTATTTTTAAACAAAACCAA